TTCTAGAACATTTGATGAATTTGGACGCTTTTTAAAGAGTTTTTGGATGCACCTATTGAAGAACCGACCCTAGGCTCTATTAAGAGCCAAAAATTACCAGAAAAGTCTCTCTCAGCTATCAATTGCCCCTTCTTGCCACTTTACATCATTCCATGCCATTCCACACCATTATTTAGTTATTTTCTTTATATTTTTGAGTTTTTCTGGTGAGTTTAAGTGTGAATTCTTCTCTAAGAAGTGTTAGAAAGTAAGAGAAATGAGAGATTGATTCTTCCTAGATTTATTAAGTGTGAATTCTTCTCTAAGAAGTGTTGGAAAGTAAGAGAAATGAGAGATTGATTCTTCCTACATTTACTGAGAGAGGCTACAAGGGATTTGCTTTGAGAAAGAGTTTCAGATAAGTATTATTTGTTTATTATTGTTGTATGAACTTCCTTTTATATATGAAATTTGTGTTTTGTTGTATCTTGCTCATGAAGTCTGAGTAGTTTCCTTTATTTTTTTCTCTACTATGAGATATGGTGAAATGAAGAGATAATTTGGACGTGCCAATGTTAAAATTAAAAATAAATTGTGATGGTTTTTCAACTCCACTCTTAAGGCCAATTGAATTGTTAAAATATGTTGTGAAACATATGATCCGAAAAATGGAGTATGAGTTCTACAACAGAGTGAGAATTATATTTAAGTCAATGATCAGTATTTCGTTCATGGAATTAAGTGCAAATAAATAGGGAAATATACTTTGTTGGGTGTAGAATTAGAGATTTTTTCGGGGTGACAGAATAAAAATCCTCAATTCAATCTTAGTGCTTAAAAACTAAAGCGAGAGTTAGCCTTCAGGGGAAGGGAAGTGGGAGCTCTGGAGTGGGAGCCAATATCCTCCTAGGCTGCGGATTTTAGGGACTAAACCTAAGATTAGTTAATAATTTTTTATAATACTGAATCAGAGTAGAAAATTAAAATTGCTCCTATTTGGCACAGTACATATTTAAACCATTTATCTCATCTCATTTCACGAAAAACTCATTGTAGTGGGAAAGATGTTTTTTCATATAAGAAAACCTCATCACATAAACATAGTTTAGTAGTTACTATTTTAAAACTCTGCATTTAAATTCTGCTAGTAGTTAATAATTTAGCTTTTATAGTATCTTAAACATTCAAAATTAGTGACAATAATTTCGTTTTAATTATGTGAATTTCCTAGTTAATTTATCAGTTCAAATTTAAACCTCGTGGGATCGATATTTGAGACTTAAATAGAAAGTCTTATATTGCTTGATAACGATACATATACTTGCGTAGAATACTTATTATGACGAGCTTAACTTTATTATTTATAAAATACCACATCAAGATTTTGGCGCCTTTGTAAAGCGGAGTCAACTTTATAAATTTTACACAACTATATTTCTGCCGCATCACAAAACCATCTAACCATTGAAGGAGAGAGGAACAGTCCCAAGCGGAGTCGACAAAAATTGTTGGCCGTTATTATTATTTTTTGAGGAAATTTAGATTTAGTTTAATGTCTATATATATATATATATATATGATTTTTTTAAAAAAATAGTATTTTAATTTTGAAAAGTAATGTTTTAGTTTTGAAAACTATGAGACCGAACTGATCTCATATATTCAATAGTTTGAATTAACAAGCACCACCACCAAATAATAAATCTATCCGGAAGGGTAGACACATCATTTTAATAGTAAGACTCAATTAAAAAACTAAAAAAATTATGACATCCGTTTGATTTGCGAAACTATTTTTTATAGGCCGACAAGTTCCCAACGAAGCAGTCATAAATAAATTGTAATTTACCACTGTTTTAATGTAAAACGATACATTAAAACAGTAGTAAATTGCAGAAATAAAATTGCAATAAATAAATTGTAAATATGTGCATGTCATCTTCTCGCTGCTGAAATGTTAGCATTCATAATTATCTATATATTGCAAAGTAAAAGTGAAAGTAACTACTAAGTGTTGATGAGTCCTTGGTGGTTTAAATTCCAAAGAAATCACAATTCATAACTTGGTGAGTCCCTAAAGGTTTTAAGGATGATTTTCTTGAACAAAGCATAATAAGTTCAATTGTTCTTCAAATTATCCAAAAGATCATAAAAATGTTCGGGGCATAGCCCTAAAAAACTTTTAAGAATCCTTTTGATTATCTTGAGTTCATTTGAACTTACTATGTTGTTGAGTAAATTACCCTGAGGTTCATTAGGTTTGACCCATGTTCAGTTTACTATCTCAATTAACCCATGAGAAAGGGGACAAGCAAGCTTGAGCTTGTAGTGTTTGAGGGAGATTAATTATGGTTTAATTTCCAACTAATCCTCAAGTATCCTTAGATTGAACTTAGCTCACTATAATACTTAAAAGACACTGGAGGTAGATGTGTAATTTCGAAGAAAAGGGGTCAAATTAACAATATTTAACTAAAAGATCAACCTATGACTCATCCATTGATTTGGGAAATCTAGACTGGTGTGCTATTAACTTCCTAACTTAAATCTCAAACATTTAACCATTCAAATTAATTCATCTTCCAATGTTCAACAATTGAGATAATTACAATTATACCATTCTTCTTTTAAAAGTGGAGTTCATTGATTTCTCTTTCCCTCTCTCAATCACTTTTGGATGTTACTTAAGATCAAAATATTGCCCTTTAAGTTTTTAACCCATCCTAAATTTTAATTAGGGTAAGAGGGTGGAAATTATGATTTTGCTCCTAAGGCTCCTAGGTTCATAAAAATTTTAAATCAATTCACATGGACTTGGGAATTTGCTGATCTATCTCTCATGGGTTAATTGAGATACTAGAGAAGGAATCATATTCTTCCAACATTTATTTTAATTTATATAATTATTTTAATTCAAAAATAAGAATTTTTTAAGTTAATTTATTTAATTAATTAAAGTAAAGTTTTTGTCATTGAGAAAATTATTGGAGGTTCACCTAGGTCGGAGGGACGCTCACACAAATTTTCATGAATTTTTCAATTATATGTTAATTATTATAATTATTTGTTTGTTTTGAATTTTATAAATTGTTCATCAAAACCCACTAATTAAACATCATCTGACCTTGAGAAAATTACCTACTGTTTATTTTATCCTTTTTTACATTTTTTCTGAAATTATGGATTTTATTTTTATTTAATATATTTGGCTTTAAACTTAATTATTTAATTAAGCTAATTAAGATTAAAGTTACTATTACATATTTATTTTGTTAAATTTTTTTCAATTTCCCGAGCAGCCAATAATTTTTATTTTATTTTTTCTTTTTAATTTTATTTTTAATAATTTCTTTTTAATTTTCATTGAATTTTTCTGATTATTTAATGATTTAAATGGGTTTACACATGTGGTCACCATGCGACATCCACGTTAGTGCAACTTAAACACGTGGTGCATTTCTGTTGGACCGGCAATGATTACCAATCATAAGCTCTACGTGCATTAGACGTGGATGGACTGATGGATCTCCGCCCAAATGAATTTGACTAGTTTGTTTGGAAATCACAAAAACAGACAACACTCGTTCATCATCCCCTTATCATTCATCATCCCCTTGTGAATGATAAACCATTATTGTGCTAGGAAAATAGCACGATCAAAGGATAAAGAGCCCATAACATAAATCAATTAAAGCAAAAAGCATCATCCACACACACCCTGAACATATAATAGCTGGAATCTTATGGTTATAGGCACAATTAAAAGCTTTGGATTGACAATTGAATGATCAAATGGATTTCAAATCTGATAAGATTATAGTCAAATCAAACGTCTCATCGAATTAATTATAATGAGCCCAATATCACTTGATTTTGGCATTATCAAGACACTAAAATGATCATAGAATTCCATCTGATTAAAGTGATCACTCTGAGTCGTCTAATGGAGTGGTCCAGATTCATGTAGTGTTTATAGAGGATATCACTAACTAAATTTATAAATAAACCCCCACTCTCTTTATGAAATGGGGACGACTGGGGACATGGACCTTGAAGAGAAAGCTGAAGAAACTCTAAGCTCTTCATGGTTCCTTAACTCTAGTGTCGTATTGTCACTGATCAGCCATCGTCACCGCTGGACCACCACTGCTCGGCCGTCGCCGTCATCAACGAACGACCATCACCGATTTCTGCCCATGGCTAGACCGCTACTATTTTGCCGCAGCTCGCCACTACTAGGCCACCGTACACTAGCCGTCGCCATTGCCGTCGTTGTCGGGCCGCCATCATCAAGCCACTGTCATCGTTGGATCACTACTATATGACCACATTCTTTGAGTAGCTGCCACTATCAAACCACTATCGACGCTTCGCGGTCACAACCGTTTGGTCGCCACTACCAAAGACACTGACAATAAATTTTCTAGCACATTATCTCTACTGTCGACTTTCCTTGACAGTAGTTAAGTAGCAATCTCCCAGTCGTTTCTTCTACTTCCCTAGCAAATATCTTATGCCACTTGTACAATATTGCTTCCAATTATTCAAGGGGCGACAAAAGTCTTATAACCTATATTGACATAACGAAATTATTTCAAATGGGCCATACCTTATGATTTTTTTTTTTTGGGTTTTTCAAGTTACAACTCTCGCCGTCAAGTTTATCGATTTCTTTTTTCTTTGTGTATGTCGGATCTTCATACAATATTGAAACATTAACACACAGCTCTACCAGTACAAATTTACCGACATACAACAATTATAAAAATAAAAATCGAGGCGCTAGATTTGTACATATAGAAGAATTGTGTGAAATGTATCTAAATGCCACAAAAATTAAATTTAGATTCAACTAATTATCCAAAAAAAAGCTCACTCCTCATGCAACACTCACAAATTGCACCATGACCCTTTTTTAAATAAATCCAGTTGTTTTTCTTAATTTCGAAAAACGTTCGAAGATTAGTAGAATAAGAAGGCTTTGAAAGCTGCAACGCAATTTTAAATTCGTGATAATGGAGTCCATTCGCAAAGTAAAAGTGTCGTTTCTCAGACGAGCAAAGCACTCTCTCTCTTCGCCATTCGAGTGCTGGGATCGTGGCGTTTTTGATTCCGAAGGCGATTATCTTCCTTTCTTCCAAGCTCGAATTGTTTCAGCTCTCTTGCTGCAATCATTTAGCGGTTACAGAGTGGAAAACCGAGCTATTTGCTACAGCGAATTCAGTATATGCTTCTCTCCGGGGGCCGTAGCTCGCCGGCGGCGATGGAAGTAGGGCCAAAGGTTCGAAGCAAGGACGTGATGCGGCTTGAGCGGGAATCCGTCATTCCTATCCTCAAGCCCAAGCTTATCATGACTCTAGCCAATCTCATAGGTAACCTAGCGCTTGTGTGCTTTCTTTTGAAACCGTTATGTGTTCTTTTTATTATTTTATCCGCTTGATTCGATTGGCGATTATTATTTCATTGATTTTTTTTTATTTTTCCGTTATGGATGTGTTTAGAGGATTTCCTGCCTCAGTCTTTTGTTTTGGTTAATGAATTTCTAAATTTCATTTGATTGAATAGGGTAATTGGGTGATATTTTTGATGTTTTTTTTTCTTCAGTTCTGCTGTTTTGGATTACTGGAGTCTTTTGTTGAAGTTGTGGTAAGGTGATAATCTTAAAACATGGAACTGCAGTTTGAATCAGATATTAATTCTTACTGGAGAACTTTACCGATGAACTTAGAGAAAATTCAATTTTGTCTTTATCAAGGGACATAGTTTTTGTGGGAAATGAATATAACAAGAGATTTTAAGGCTTGAGAGTGTCCAAGGACGTTACCTTCTAGACGCTACTAGCCCCCGCTTGTTACAAAATTTGTTCTATACGCCTTAAGTTGTGTCTGGAGCTCCGATTCGATTTAAGCTATTAGGATTAAGTAAAGTTCATAAATCCGGATTTACTAAATTCCGAAGGGGTTAAATCCTGAAAACTGTCTCACAAATGATTTACTAAATCCTGTAATACTGTCTGACAATGGATGAGCAGGATTTAAAAAATAGTTAACAGCTGGGAGTAAAAAAAAGATGCATGCATAGATGCTCATGAAGTTCTCTCTCAAAAACAAGTGATTATTACTTCAGCCTGTTTTAAACCATAATGCTCTAGCATCAGGGACATCCAAATATTTTCGAAATGTCGACTAAACTTTCTATTTTTGCAAGACACTCATTCATCGATATCACAACGTTATGATCCAATAATTTCTTCAAAGCTACAGCGTTATGTTCTTCATCTGAAACAACAAATATTTGAATAGGAGGGTCATCAGAAGATTTTCCATCAGGAATAGTGTTAGTCAAATGAGCAGAGGTATATGCGGTGTTGGAAAAATGGTCGGGTTGCACCTCCTCAGCAGGGATGGTAGGTGACAAGACGTCCACCCTCAATTCAGTATAAATAGATTTTTGAACATGTTGCTTATCTTTAGCAATATCCAGCCTTAAATGAGGATGCAAGAGATATCAAATAGTAGAACTGTGGCTAAACATATTATAATGAGAGCTAAAGAAGAGTGTGGTTCTATTTGAACATTTTGCTAATACCCGTTGTGAGTGGATCCAATCTATTCCTTATCCAGAGTTGGTTGGGTGATATCTCTCTCAACTAACACACAAACCGCAAAAGGTCTGGTGACAACAAGTTTAGGACTATCAATCTTGAGAGGTTTACCGTAAGTAGCAGCTAAGGAGTAAAAAATTTCAAAGTTGAATAGGTGTAGTTTTAACCCTGAAAAGTTTATCCAAACATGAATGATAGGGAACTCCGCTTTTAGATCAAAGTCGACAGTCCACTTTAGGATTTTCATAAAACGGTTGTAAATCTTGATTAACCTTCGAGAAAAAATACGAGTGTAATCAGCATCATAAGATAACTGAATAAGTATATGTCGGCCGTTAAACAAGCCAATGAGTATATGTATTCCAATTACCCGATAGCTTCATAATCTACCCGATAGTTTCATAGCATCAAAATATTTTTGAATGATCTCAAGTTTAGGGTGACCATAAAAGAATTTCCACACTAGAGCAAAACACCAAGAAGACGCTATATATATATAGATAAACAAAGAAAACCAAATTTAGCATTCATAGTACTACATGAAAGCTGGTTTTTTCCCTCAGCTAATATGAAATAACAATACAACCTACTTCAAAGTATTAACAACTGCCGGTTGAAACCTTCCACAAAAATCTTATCACTATAGTTCATTCATGCCATCTTATCCTAAAGAGCATTCAAACTGAAACCTGCCATAGAATTTTTCCACAATACACTCCAAAACATTGATCAATTCATGTAGAGCTTCAGACCAACAATAATAAAATTACAGTATATAGACCCTAGACTATGAAGACAAACCCGAAAAGCATTCATGCCTCTCAAAAACTAGTATCAATAAAGTTACAGTAATCTAAAGCCATGATCTCGAACAACAGTCAAGAAACTAAAATCCAAAGCATGATGATAAAGACCACATTGTTTGGGCATATGATATGATGAGGAAGTGAACCTCATTCAAAAGAAAAAGAAACCAGACTAGAAAAAAATTCCTAGATTGGAACGGGGAAAGAGGGAAAAATCGCTCGAAAAGAGAAGCTAGGGATGTTATTGCGGGAGGAAAGAGATCGTCCACATTATAGATATAACCTCGTCGCCCGATGGACAATAGTTTGACAAGAGGACCGTTGGGAGGGAAGAAGGCTAAGCTTATCTCGCGCTATTAGATGAGCTGTTACCTACCTGTGCCATAAATTCTCAACGCGAACATAAATTCACCGATTCGTAGATTTAGTGAATCCCAAATTTTTGGCCGAAATCGGTGAAATCCAGATTTAACAAATCTGCGGTTTTATTTTGTCCAAAAGGACTGTAGCTTATATCTCACTTAAATCTCAGGATGAATCTGTTGCCAGACAGCCTCTTAGAGATTCAACAACCTAGAGATAAGGCTGTAATCTAGGTGAGTTGAGCAGAGTTTGTTGTGGATTAGAGTTGGCTTTGTTATATTTTAAGTTGTTCTTGTTTGGCTTGAGTTTGAGTAGAGCTTTCATATATATGTTTATATTTTGCTTGATTAAATTTTAAAAATTGTACTTGATTTGCACTTTATTTGTTTATATTAATTTAATAAGTATTTCAACAAGTTAATAAACAAGCTAAAATTCACATGAGTACTTGATTTCTCACATAAAATTATTAACAAATGATTTACAAATATAAATAAATAAGTTGGTGAACAAATTTTAAGTTAGTATTTTGTTAGCTTACATCAATTAACTAAGACAATATATAAATTACAAGTAAGATTTCATGAAATCAAATAATATAAATAAGTGCTAACAAACTGTTTCATCGAAATAAAGAAATAAGAAAAAAATGTATAAATTATGAAATATATTGATATTAAATTATAATATTTTACTATTAAATATATAATTAAATAAGTTTTAATTAAACAATTTTATTTAAATAATATGTCATATATGATACAAGTTATCATTGAATTTATTATAAAATACATATTAAGTTACTTGTTGAATAATAAATTAATTTGTTCATGAACATAAAAAGTGATTTGAACTGTAATTAAATAGGTTCATATAACCTTCGAGCTTTTAAAAAATATTCAAGCTTGTTTTTTTACTAATTTCAACAAACTCCATCTAGTATTATTTTGTGGAGTTTGTGTTGTTCATCGAGTGCATTTGTTCACTAGGTCAGGGATGCTACTTGCAATTTAAACAATCTAACTTTGTAAGGGAAAGAAATATTGGTATGCGATATATGTAATTCTTAACCATCATTGCCATACAATCACACATTCTTTATACCATATTATTTTTTGATTAACAAGGGATATTAGCCTTATCTGAGTTATTTGAGGCCAACATTAGGAATTCTTATCCTCATTTATTTTTGTTGAGTGTTGTCTTAGGTATTAAACATGTTTTTCGCAAAGTATTTTTGTCAACTTACTATTCATGTAATTTTAGGTCTATCATTTTTTTTTCTAATCCTTTGATATTAATTTTAATAACTTGTTTAATGAGTGTTTTGTTTCCTTTCTTGGACATGTCCAAATCTATTATTTTTTTTTAAATCATGTGTTTGGGCTGATAACATATTTTTAAAACTTTCTATGTCTATAGTAATATTGCACATATTTCCCTTCATAGTGCAAATAGTAAGAAAAATATTTTGGCGGGGCCATTGTTACTTTTTAATGAGCTCAATCTGATGGATTCCTCTAGCCATTAGCATTTCTTCCTTGTCAATTGGAAGACTCCTCTCTTATATCTTCATCTTTTATGTCCCTAGTGTTACTGTATGTTTCTTCCACCACTCCCTATTTAGTAAAAGAGATCACTTTCTTATTAGGACAATCATATATTATATGCTAAAATCATGACACTTGAGGTACTTTTTAGCCGGAAATGGCTTGTTGTGTTGGTGGCACCCACATTTTCTCCACTCTTGGTTGATTTTTCCTAAAAAAGGGACGACTTTGGTGCTCGTGCCCTTACTGCACTATCCTAAGGTTGAGCTTTGTCTATACGGTGTGATGGTCCCCTAACGATGATGTTGCTTCTCCACCCTCAAATCTATGATTTATATGCTATCTATATTTCGAGTAGGGATCAATAGGTTTGTAGTTGCACCATATTATGAATAATTGATCTAATTGTTTAAAGTGCATTGCCACTGTGTGTTCCTCAGGTTCCACCAACTAACATTTTAATATATGTTGAGTTAATTGGGTCATGTATTCCTTCACAGAAAAGTCCCTCTTATGTAAGCTGTTGAATTTTAGGAACATATCATGACGATAATACGTGAGAAGATATTTTTACTGCATTGTTTTGTCATATTGGGCCATGTGGTGATATTTTTCTTCCATTCTTGTTGTCGAAGATGCTTTAGATTCTCCGAGCATAAAACAATGTTTTTCTTAAGCTTCGTAGATGTAAATTTAACTCTCTTATCTTGGGAAACCTCATTGTGTTAAAACATTTGTTTCATTGCTTAGAGCCACTCAATAAATCTATTCAGATCTAACACCCATTAAAATCTGACAATTCAAACATCATCCCAAATTCCTTGCCTCTCCTTTGATATTCAATGTCAAATTAATGAGATATTGGTTCTTTATCAATGAAAATTTTTCGGTGGAAGGGATTAACTTCCTCCTCTCGATCCAATGAATCACCATTATAACCATACGTGATATTTTCAGGTTGTCATCTCTCAAATACGACAAGTTATAGTTGGATGATCTTTTTATGCATAGTATTTTCAGGTTGTCATCTCTCAAATACGACAAGTTTTGTTATAGTTGGATGATCTTTTTATGCATAGCTTTCATTATGAGCTCTTGAACACCTCTTTGCATGTTTTTTCTCGGCTGCATGAGGTCTCTTTCTCCCAATTAGGGTTCCAATCAAAATTGAAAGGCACTTTTAGGTAAATAAAAGGTGAGAGGGTGAGGGTAGATGAATTAGATAATGTAAATTTAGGCTTCGAAGAGAGAAAAATAAATAAAAAAAATTAGAGTTTGCTAGGCTCTAATATCCAATGTCACAATTCTAGGGTTTCTAGATGGTATGAAAAGATAACATGAAGGATCAAATCTTGGGAGGAAAAGCAACAAAGGAAAAATTTGCAATAAGCCTGAGAACTGGTGGGACCAACGGTTGGACAATAAGCTGGACACAAAAAATAGTAGGTAGGCAACAACTCTAGAGGTATAGAAAGGTATTCAAACATTTGGGAGTGATCACCACCTAGATTCAGTCAGATTATCGACATACCACCTGAGAAAGATAAATAATACAATACTTGACAAGAGAAAACTAGAAAAATTAATTTCTAATTCATAAAAAACAAAAATAAATGCCCCAACATCAGTGCATAACAAACATATTTATAGTTCCTAAGCAAAATAACCCAAACTATATTTCAAATAATACAAAAATGACAACAACAAGGCTAACAATTAGTAGGTGGGAAAATCCCGCTATTGGGTCTTCACAGAATGGGATTCCGTTCCAATTATTATCCTGCGTATGCAGGATCACTGGAACCAGTCCCACTTAAGAACACGATGGTTATAGTTTGCGTTGGTTGAGTAGGCTTTTATTTTAAGAGATTATTATTAGTTTTTCTAAATGAGGCTAGATGACCTTATTTGAGGCCATAAGTATGTTGTAGGGAGAGAGTGTAGGCCTATGGGAATGTGCATGGTATAGGGAAGGCAAGGGCATTGGCTTTGGGCATCAAGTCTTTTTTTTAACAATTATTAATTAATTAAATATTTATTTCCTGTCATTCATAGGCTTATTAATCATTGCTAATGCATGATAATATTTGCCATCATCTTGCGTGTCTCAAATATGTTTGTATTCACATATAGGTGAATTTTTGCATCTCTTGTGTGGGAACTAAGAAAATATATTTGTATTGTTGGTAATTTTGACATTCTGAACATGCAAGCACGATTTATTTTTGAAACAAGCATCAATTGAGTGCTCATTATGATGCGGTGCGGATGCAAGGGTTTACCACACGAGATAATGCATGAGCTTGATTTCACGAATGCGGCTATAGTATCGAACATGGGAGATTGTCGCAGCTTCTTGGACCAGTTCATTAGCGCAGCTTTGAAGATGACTTTCTATCTGTGGGATTGCAGCCTAATTGGAGTGGGGTTCACTCTTAGTTATCCTAAGGTTATATATTTGTGTTTCTGATATTTTAGGTTAAGTTGTTTGGCGGGAGTTTATTTAGGACAACCGTCGACATCCATTCTCTCGCTTCGAGGGGTGTATCCGAGGGTTTGGTGGTGCTTCGGTTGCATCTCTCTTTCGATGTTGTGATTATCTTTTCTATCCCTTTCCACATCCTCTTGACGTCGCTCCTGGTTGCCCTCTATTGCTGCAGCCGTCCCTGAACAAACAAAGTTGTTTTCACTGTAGTTTTTATAATTCTAGATGCTTATCCTCGCTGTTGCCGCACAGGGCAGCCATATTTTTGTTGTCCTACAGTTTTCTGCATCCCTCGCCTTTGCCGCCGACATTCCTCCTCGCTACTGCCAACCAAAACGACGCCTATTTTCTATTCACATGCGGTTCTATTGTCGTCCAACCATTCCTCTTTACTGCAACCGCCATTTCATCCATCCATCCTTGCTGCCATCTCCCCAGACAACCCTCCCACATCGTTCCCTGATGTTTGCTTGTTGTCCAACCAAGGAAACAGTCAGACTTGTTGTTTTCTTCTTGTCAATGACCTTTTCCACCCTTGAGTCACCTTCCAAACCCTCACTGACCACCACCACCCCTGAATCTACCCTTTAGTTTGAGTTTGTGTTATCAGTTGTTGCAATTTTAAGTTTCCGTATGTTGGTTGTAATTTCATATTTGATAATAAAATTCGGTTTTCTTACTGTTGTTTGGTTAACTCCGATATCATTTGACTTCGGAGCTAGCCTAACCCTAGTCTTATTCTATATTTCTTAGCATCCACCACTACCTGACTTTATCTTTACCCAAAATTTCTTTCCTACCATACATCACCCACTACACACCCCTTCCACCTCCCCAAACCCCAAATTCTAATCACGTCACCGTTGAGACAAGTTTTAGAGGCTAAGCGGGAGTTTATGATCGAAGAGATATAACGACAACTTGGTCAAGTGCTACAATGTATCTATAAAATTGAGGAAATGAGACCATTTAGAGGGTTCGCCCAAACTCCATTCGATTTTAGAGATGGACCGCTTGACATGAAATATTGGAGAAGCTAGGAGACAATCACTTAGATCTGGACGAGTTTATTGAGTGATTTCAGACCGTGAAATTTTTCTTCAATTACCAGGAAGTCCCATACGATAGATTGGTGAAATTACTTATTATCAATTTAAAAAAGAGTGCATTATTTTAGTGAAAAAATTTGAAACACCTATGCTAGCGTGAAAGAAAAAACAAGATCACTACCTAGTACTGGATGAAACGGATGTTGTAGTAATCGTACCTACCCGCACCTATAGGCAGGATATGTTTACAACAATATCACTGGATGACTGCTAGATCTTACAAGTAAAATTCAACCCTAGGATTGACCAACAAGAGTATGCCCGGGGAAACATCGAAGTCCCCACTTGAGGTAGAAAAGGTGTAACCAATTCGCTTTCCCAAATCTAGCCAAGAAGTGTTTCATTTGTCATAGATTTGAACATATGGAATTAGATCGCATAATCAGGATAATGATCTATTTCACTGAGCAGAGAACAGTTGAAGAAAAAGACAATGACAAAAAAATGTATGAAGATGTTAGAGCTGAGCCTTAGATTCAAATCAACGAGAAAGAGACACTAGTGATTCAAGATGAGCCCATGAGAGAGACTCTGTCTGGATTAGTCTAGATTGTTCTAGAAGATAGTGAGTCTGAGAAGTTGATACCTGAAAAGGGTCAACTTTTGCTGAAGGAATTGCCGAACATCCTGAATTATAGTTCACCTAGTGGGTGGATGCCCCTGAAAGTGGTCTAACATGCCAGAAATGATTAACTTTTGAGCTACTTTTGGAAGACTATATGCAATTATTCAAATATTAAATTTAGTTCAGTAGTGTACCCATCGACAGATGACCAGATAGGATGGATGAGCCACTGCTTTGGAAATTGTATTGGGAGCTTGGTTGGAAAGAAAATTTTATAATGGGATCAGGTCCTACTTGAGAAGAAGAAACCTCTTCTGAGTGGTTGCCAGTGAGAATGCTCAACCTACCATAAATTTTATCCTAGAGTTGATTTCTTCTTACATACTTGTTTATTAGATTCGCCTAACAGAGCATGAGAAGTGAGAATAGCAGATTATAGATTTAATTACTCTAGATTTAGTTCATGAGAATCCATGTCTATATGTAGCTCCAGCTCAGAATGTGCCAAAAGAAGACATGCTTTTTCGATTAGGATGTGTTTTGGAATAATAACACTTACAGGATTGATTTACATTTATCGGGAGTTTGCAACATTTTCATTACTTTCAATGTGGCCGACCAGACTCCATACTATGAGATGACAAAAGCTTCGACAAATGAGGTCGAAGCTCCCCCAACCTTGGAATACTGACATTGGGCTGACGCTAGGTTTTCCCACTGAGACAATGCATGACCGTGATTCCGTGAATCCCGTTAAAGTACCATACACGGGAGATTGTCGCAGCTATTTGGATCGGTTCATTAATGCAGCTTTGGCCTCTATGTCCATTGGATTGCAGCCCAATTGGAGTGGGGTTCACTTCTAGTTATTCTAAGGTTATATATTTTTGGTAGTATTGTTTTAGGTTAAGTTTTTATGGCTGAGTTTATTTAGGATAGCAGCTTGTGTCCTTTTTCTCCCTTTGAGGGTTGTACCGAGGGTTTAGGTGGTGCTCCTGCTGTATGTCTCTCCTGAGGTGGTGATTCTCTTCCTTATCCCCTACGACATCCTACCCTCGTCACACCCGGTTTCTCTCCATTGCTATAGCCGCCCCCAAACAGTAGTAGTTGCTGTTTTCACTGTAGTTTTTCCAATTCCAGCCTTCTATAGCTGCCATCGCCTCAAACAGCCATACTCTTGCCGTCCTGCAGTCCCCTGCATCTCCCGCTGCTGCCATCAGCATTTCCCCTCGCCATCGCCACCCAGAACATCACCTATTTGCTGTTCACTTGAAGTTCTGTTGCGGTCCAGTCTTTCCTCTTTGTTTTCGCCACTATTTTAGCCCTACATCCTTACTTCCATCACCCCGGACAACCCGCCCACATCGCTCCCACATCGAAATGACTACCGGTAGGCTAATCAAGCCGGGGTGAGCTTGAGCGCGTTTAATAAACAAGCTCAAGTTTGAGCTTCAGTTCGAGCTCGTGGCTTAATAAGCTCGTCTTGTGACCTTTTTTAACAAGCCAAACTCAAGCCGGTCGGCTCATTTACAGCCCTAGGTTTGCTATTTGATATATTTATTTTAATTAATTATTATTATTATTTTGCATTTACACATTTCAGTGAACGCTATAATGCATGCCAAATGTGCTATGTGACATCTTAACTTTTATTCATAATTGAAAACTATACGCAAAGCTTTATTGATAGAAAATTGGGCTGAAAAGCATGCATGAATGGTTAGAAGATTTTTTATTGCATAATCATGCTTTGTCTTCCTCAAACGTTTATTTCTTGTATTTTTACCTGGAAAATTTTGCACAGAACATGACACTGACAGAGCCGAGTTTTTGAAGCTATGCAAGAGGGTGGAGTATACTATTAGAGCTTGGTATCTACTTCAATTCGAGGATTTGATGGTATCAAGTTCATTATTTTGAAGCAAATTTATAATAAAATTTTGCTATATATCTTCAAAAGTTTTGCAGTTTTGTCATACTTAGCATAAATCTTTTGATTGAAAACTTCTAAGGATATATATATACTATTTAAATCAATACAAGTTTTGCACTCATTTCTTATGTATTTACATTTCTACATCTAGACTTACTAAACTTTGATATTTAGATATATCATATTTGGGTGCTTTAAATCTATGCATGAAAATGTGTATTTGATTTTTAAAAAATGTTTCGGGCCTTTTGTGAGATAGAAAAGTGCCGCTTAGACTGAAAGGAAAATTTTATAAGAGGGCGGTGAGACCTGTAATGCTCTATGGCGCTGAATGTTGGCCTTTAAAAGAGAAGCATAATACTAAGTTAAGTGTTGCCGAGATGAGAATGATTAGGTGGATGAGTGTCTTTACACTTAGAGAAAAAATGCAAAATGAATATATTCGTGATAGGGTTGGTGTAGCTCCAGTGATGGACAAAATTAGATAGAGTCGTGTTAGATGGTTGGGTCACATTAAACGTCGACCATTTGATGATCCAATTAGGAGAGTAGATGTTTTAGATTCAACTTTTGTTCAGAAAGGCAGAGGCAGACCTAGGAAGGCTTGGGCATATTGTGTAAAAAATGATCTTAATTGATTAGAATTAAATGAAAATATAACACTAAATAGGACGCAATGGAGAAAAAGAATTCATGTAGCCGACTCACTTAGTAGGATTAAGGCTTTGTTGTTGTTGTTGTTGAATTCATGAAGGAGGATCCTATAAAGCTTCACTCCCCAAATGTATCCACACTGTGACTCATCTCTTGATTATATGTACCTACCAAAGAAATGGTGCTGCGTGCATGACAATCTCATCCACTTTGATTGATCCACCTAAGCTAGAGGCACAAGAAACAAGAAATGCGAATTGTTATTGTAGATTTGTGTGGGGATCATAGCAGTACACTTTACATTTGAAGTTGGTGGTATTGTTACAATTTTTTGGTATAGTAGAGTTTCGTCCATGTCAGTATTGTTTATGTCGGTGTTGGCTAGAATCCCTACTTTAGATAGTACTAAAAGTGATTTGGACAAAGGAATTATATATAGTTCAAGGAACCACAAAAAAGGGGGGAAGATTTACATACATACCACTCATTTCTTATATATTTATATATCCAACACCTGAACTTTAATTTTTACTTGCATGGCTCCTTGTGCATGAAAAACTGTATTTCATTTTTTAAAGTTAAAAATGGTGGTGTTTTTGATGTGATATGAAAGGTTTGGATGATATAAATGTAAAAAATAAAGTTTTGGTGTTAGATATGTAAACATATAGTAATTGTGTGATATCTATGTAAATTCCCCTGAACGAATTGCAGTCTATACTCTTGGCAAAGTTTAATTAATATTTCATCAGCATTGACCATATCCCAATTTTTTGGGCCAGCTTTATCAGCTCTAATTTTTCTTTCACTCTTGTTGACTGTTGCCTGAGACGTTAAACCTATTCTTCATGAATGACTTTGAACAAAATTTTTTACTGTTATCTTAGATCTATCCCATTTTTTCTTTTTAGTCCTTTGACACTAATTTAATCTATTCATATGATAGGTGCATTTTTTACCCTTTGTTGTACATGTCTAAATCAAGTTAGTTTATTTTTAACTATCTTATTTTCAATTGTTCTCATTCCAACGATTTTTTATTTAAACATTTTTTTAATTTATCCTTCTTAATTTTCAGGAGATTCATCTTACTTTTTTGTCCTACTCATCATGCTCAACTTGGCTATTGGCGGCCTTTTTATTTCTCAACACTCGGATTCACACAAATGACATGCCTATTTTTATTTCTATAAAACATACCTTTAAGTCCTTATGATAGATTTTCTTGGTTGGAGTATTTAAGCATATATTAAAAAAAATATGGGCACGGATTGAATTAACATTTTTATAGACTTTGGGACTAAAATTAATCCCTGTAAAGATTCATGGGATTATTTTGACGCTTTTTTTAAAACTTTCTTATCATATGATACTCTTATACTCTTGAGTTACTTCTCTTTTTTAAGAAGCCAACCTTAAATGTCAAAATTTGGTTATATCTCTCTTCTTCTATATCCAGATCTATAATACTTAAACCTATTACATTATGAATTACTCTACCTTGAAAAATTATCACTTTCTATATTCAAATATTATCACACTACAAATCAGCTTTCTTGTGGTGTCATGATATTTTGTGTGTTTTTTTAGTAACAATGTGAATGAGTTTAAATACTGATTCATTTTATCTTCTAGAAAATACATGATTTTGCAATGTAACTTACTGCTTTGAAAAATATGTTGTCATTTGGTCAACTTTGGTCACTGAGTAATTTAATTTCCAAATTTATAAATAAGTTCTGAGATGATTTTATTCATCTTGAAATGAATAGGTACTGAAAAGAGTAATTTAATCAAAGAAACTTATGATTGGTACCACAATAAATTACATAATGAAATGACTATAATGATTAGAACTATTCAACATGTGAAAGCTACTTGATAAGCCTTTCAGCAGTATTAATCATAATTAATTTCTTAGTTATCAAAAAATTTTTTTTTGTTCTTTAGTATTTAAACAAACAAGATTTGCTTTTTACAGCAACTGCATTCCCTGTTTGATCCTGCACGCGGCGCTCAGAGGTTGGAACAACAAAACTTATCTTCTGAAGAGATTGATGATCTTGAGCAGAACTTTCTGACATACTTATTCCAGGTCATTTATTCAAACATTTCTATGTGATTTATGATTAATAGACAAATTTATTGCTGATAAACTGTTAGTATACTTGTAGTATCTGCATTCTGAAATATGATTTTGTTCTCCTTTACAAATTAAAAATGATATTAAGTATGCTATACGAGATATTTTGGCAGATTTGTTATTGCAATCTATTATTACTGGAATCAGACTAATTACTTATTCATTATAAGAAGAAAACTTATTGCTTTTAAATAGATGTTATTTATTTTACTAGCAATAGGGCACGGATACCGACTTCATGTTAACATTTGATTTTGTTTCAAAAGTTAATATTTCTAATTAATTAATATAATCATCAGCGCTTGATATTTCAAACACCTATTGTTATAATTTTTTTCTTCGACATGTCTTGTTAATTATCTTTGATGTACTTTTTTTTGTCTTTAACTAGTTAGTGTATTTCGCTAAAAGAACCACCCATCATATGGAGAAAAAGAAACCAAATACGAACCGGATTCAAGTGCATCTTAATTAGAAAAAGGTAAAATAACATGTAATCTTGCTAAAAAAATCTTATAACCGAACATAATTGCTGCATCAAATGCCTTTTAAGTAAAAATGTTTGACTATAAATAAAGGTACATAGTGAGATGAGGAGAAGTAAAGCACGAAACAGAGAAAGTGTAGAAGAGCTGAGTAATGAACTTACAGTATTTTGGTATACTGCATTTTTACATACTTAGCATTTCAGCATTACTGTGGTTGTATATAGTCTTCTGCATACAATGTTTGTTTTGGTATTTGTTATGATCAGACGACCTTGAGAATGTTTGTTAGCAGCTGATGTCCATGATGAGCAACGTATAGGTGCTGTGTATTATGCAATCCATGTGGAATGGCTGCTGCTATCAATTCAGTTGTCAAGTGGAATGGCTGCTGTTATTCATTCTGTTATGAGACTGGAGAACCCCATTTATTAGGTTTTGCGGACAATAGCTATAGTCTGGTAAACGCTGGTATTTGATTTCATATAAACAAGTATCTTCAAGAGTGCAATTCGGATTTTTTACGAAGAATAACACAAATAGCTAAATATTAACCATACAAAACTGAAATCCTTGTAACTCTATCTGATCAGTACTTAACAAATGTCAGAACTTAGCAAGGTGAAAGTAGGTGTCATATCTTGTTTTATTACTTGAAGCTTCAAAATATGGCCCCAAATGAACTTTTGTAAGAAACAAAGCTTATAGGGTTGCCTAATGAATCTTTGATGTGATGGCAAGAATTTACTTGATGGACCCTTGATGGAAGGCGTGTATTTGGTTAGTAAGGGTTTGGAAGATGGCTAGTCTAAGCTATAATTGGAGTTTAAGGATCAAGGTATTGGTGGAGAGCGGGGAGAGGGGGTATCGATGTTTAGAAGGCTCAGAAAGAGGGGAGAAGTGGTGGAAGAGATGTTAGAGGAGGCTACGGGTGTGAGAGAGAGGATTTGTTGGGGTTGTTGGAAGTGGTAGGAGAAAGTTGGCGGTTTGTATGTGAAGGTTGGCCGAGCGCTAGAGGGACTCTATGCTAAGCAATAATAAGAGATAGAATCATTGAACTCGCTAAACTCTAAGCATTGGATTCATTGCTGTTAAAGCTCTAAACATGATGCGAAACACAAAAATATGTTCTATTTTAATGTGCAAAGCACAAAGCGAATCTGTGCTATTGCTAACTTGAGTATTCATTTCATGTATATATAATATTCGTACCACAATAAGTTATAATTTTATAGCAAATATGATGACACACTCAATAATAGTAATTTCCAGCTATTCGAAAGCCAACAAAATATTTAAATATAAGTGATGAAAGAATACTTAAAAGTCAAGAACACTTATTAGATTTAATGATCAATTAGAGGCTGAGATGCCGAACTTTTGTGGAGCTAGAATGTGTGAAGATGAGACCGTGAGAATCATTCTTAAGAAGCTAATGAACGAGAAGATGAAAAAATCATAAAACAAATAAGAAATTGCTGGCCAAACATATCCCAAGATGAAAAATTCCAAAAAAAAATGAAAATTAAAATTTTATTTTAAATATTAGAGTTTTTATTAGACATTTTCTTTGGTTTCTTGCTCGAGCTTTTAATCTTGGCTATTATATTTGGACCTTTAGCATGATTTTTTTCCATATAATTATTGATAAAATTATCCATATTACTACATCAACAAAGGCACTTATTTTAGTATGTGATGTTAATAGGCACATGAATGAATAATGCAATTTCATTGATAAAAGTATGTTGTTAATCCTTTCTATTCAACAAGAACTTATTATATTACATAATCTATAATTAAAACTTTATTCTTGAATAAAATTTTTGTAACCACTAACCAATAACCTTAGATCCTCGGAATTTCAAACACAAAACCTTTTGGATAATGCAAGACTTTTTCTTGTCCATTCTAGCGCAAGAATTAACCATCATTCTTTCATTTTTTACGGTGTGCTATGATCCCTGATATGCAACAATATAACAATATATTTGATTATATTTTTCAATTATATTTGCTTTTTTTTCAACAAAACCAAAAACATGATCCTGAAGAAAAATAAAAATTTAACTTTTAATATATATATATATATATATATATATTGAGATACTACACAAATATACGTATCGTTATTAAGTAATATAAGACTTTTTGATTACGACATGAATATCGAACCCACGAAGAAGATATGCAATATGCACTTTTTTGAAAACTTTCTATTTTTAAAAAGATAAATATTTAAACTAAATGTTTTTGTAGTAAAGAAAATTTAAATATTTTTGGTGATTTTGATATTTTGATAAAAACAGTAACAATTTAAAAAGATAACTAGAGTATTTGTAGAAGAAAAACACTAAATATGAAAATATCTTTCTTCTTATCATGAATCAGTAATAAGTATAAGAATTTTGTTGTGGAAGTATGCAAATTGTGTTGTGCCAAATAAAAGCAATAATATTTTTTACCCTTACTAAAGATGCTATAAAGAACATTGAATAATTTAAAGTTTGAATAGTTTTGAAGACCGGCTA